GCTTGATAGTGTTCATAGATCCCTTAGGGTGGATATCCTTTAGTGCTTAAACATTGAAAGTTTTCTTTAGAAATTCTAGGTGAATGATTCCTCCTTTTTAGGTGTCTTGTTCTGCTTTGCTTGCAATTGTACCTCCACTTCTTATCCTATAATTCAAGTTTCCTTGTGGGAGCCTAGTCCTTCCTTTGGAAGGACTAAATGTATACCATGAAGGTAAATCCTTTGAGGATATAATCATCCTTGATTTTGGTTGAGTGCCATGAAGGATACCTTTGGTATACTTCATGCTTCCCATTATCATTCCAATCCTTGATGTTGGTTGAGTGCCATGAAGGATACCTTTGGTATACTTCATGCTTCCCATCATCCTTTCAATAACCCCTTAGCTTGTTTTCTCTCCTCTCCATGTTTGATTCCTTGCTGTGTTGCATGTAGGATAGAGTTGCATGAGTAGAGACTCTTGTTTAGGTGCATGTTTGCATTAAAGGTTGAGCTAGTCTCCCTTTGCTTGATTGCATTAAAGGTTGAGCCAGTCTCCCTTTGCTTGTTTGTTTAACTGCTTTTATACTTGCCTCTGGTGTTTGCATTGAAGGTTGAGGTGATCCTCCCTTGCTTGTGTGTTCTTTTTCTTTTTATGTTTGCATTAGAAGTTGAGGTTTCCTCCTTCTGCTTGTGATGATGCATTGCATATCCATCCATGTTCTTATTTCAGTAGCTTAATAGTTGTATTCATCTACTTATTGATTTTTTGTTGTTTCTGTTTCCCCTTTAACATGTCCCCATAAGTTCTCTAACCTCTTAAGGTTATGATAGACATTAGGTGCCTAAACATGCATGATAACATTAGGTAGTTCCCTTTTGAATCTCAACTTTAGGTGTACTTTGCATGATAACTTTTAGGATTGACCAGTCTCCCATTAGTGTTCTTTCTTCTCTTCTCATCTTCGAACACTCTTAAAACATCTAATAAAGAAGGACAAGTGTAGCACGCTACGAGCCTTAAGCTACTTGAGAAATGGTAATTGAGGGGCCTCCTCTCAAGGACCTAGAGTGTTTATTGTACACCCTTTGGGTGATATACGACGCATTCGCTCTTAGGTCATAGTCTCTAGTGCGACATGAGTTACAAATCAAATTTAAAACACTTCTTCTCTAAAAAACACAAAAACACTTCAAACCTTTTTCACCCTTTGGGGTTCTTAACCAGGAAAATCTTTTTCACAAAAAAGAGTGTCGTTAACTCTTAGTTCTACCGCAAACGGTAATGCCTAAGTCTCCAATGGTCGAGCTGCATACACCAACTGCTAGAACTATTTGTTAACCCTACTCGGGCCTAAAAACTTTTGAACCAACCTGTGGTCCTTTTAGCCCGAACTACGTTCGCTCTGATCTTTCATACCAAATGAAAGTACGTAGGCACAAGATGCGATGTCTTGGTGAGCAACCTTCCCCCTTTCTTTAGTCGTATTTAGTCGAACTACGTTGACTCTAACTTTCCCATTGCACAAGGGAGTATGTAGGCCCATAGCAGCGATGTTATGTCAAGTCCTGTCTTTTCTTTTTCTTTTGTCCCTGAACCTTTAGCTAGATAGTTTCAATACACCTATAGACTAGACAACAATGCGTGGATCCCGTCGAGTACGACGGACGTGAGGGGTGCTAATACCTTCCCCTTGCGTAACCGACTCCCGAATCCAGACATGGTTGCGATGGCCTTGTCTTTCCCGTTCTCTTTAGGTTTTTCCGATGGTTTCCTTTCCCTCTCTTTGGGATAAATAACGAAAGTGGCGACTCTTCTATTTTTTCCGTCGATTGTTTTTCGCAGTTGAGACACACGTGTGATTAAATGAGGATGTAGGATGGAAACAATTGTGACTATGTAAGGGAATTATTTTTTAGATGATTTTGCATGATCTAGAATATTCCATATGAGGTTACATTTGAAAATTGGTGTCAAAATGCTGCAAAACTTGAAAATGTTGTTTCTGGCCAAATATTGCACGTGTTAATTGGTTAACCTCAGGGTATTAATCGATTAACACAGTGGAAAAAATGAGGAAAATTGCTTTTTGTTGTGTTGTCTCAGCTCTGACTCAATTTTTTGACTTGTCAGAGAAGACATGGAAATAAACACATGAATCTTAGAGTTTCTTGGGCAATAAGTAATCAAATGTTCGGGTAACTCTTGATCAACTTTTGATTTTGATTAAGGGTTGGTAAACATAAGCAAATATAAAGCAAACAAGGAAACATGGGTGCTTGGTGATCTTCCTCAAGACAAACCTACAGAGGAGGGAAAGAGAACCAAAACTTGTGATATTGTTTGTGATGCATGTGATGCAAATGACATGTGGGATCTTAGGGGTAAAAATTAGGGTATTACATCAGGTCCTCTAACTATACCCCCAACCTTTATTTATCCGAGTTAGATTATTTCAAGATGGTGGTGGATGGTTGTTTGGTGGAGGAAGATAATCCGAAGTCGACTCTTGAGCAAAATGCCTCTACTGAAGTTGAACTTGTTGTTGACAATCAGGTGCTTGAGAAGAGTAATATCGAGGAGGTCAAATGCGAGAATATGTTGTGCGTCAAATATTTACGTAAAGAACACTAGTTGAATAACTCCTCTGATGTTAGTTAGAAAGAGCAACCATAGTAGGCAAGTTCTTCGTATGAGTTGAGTTTGCCTTTTCAATTTGATATGTGCTTCTTTTATACTCATTCCATTAGCCTGATATGAGACAAGGGATACAAATGCAATAAAATGCTAATCAAGAGCCATAATAATCACTTATTCGATAATTATTGTTCTAGGAAGAGATGTCTAGGCATGTTGTTACGTGATAAATGCCATAAATACTTGTCTTAGGTATCCTGACATTGAAGTGGCCGCCTATATTACGCATAAACTTGGAAATAGACTATGCTCGACTCGCGTCTTGATTTAGCTTACAATCCTTGTGCTTAACCTCCAATTATAGAATATACACAATCCTCAAACACGAGGCTCGAAGGAGCGAAGTGACGGTGTCGTGTTGATTCATTAGGTACCCTTACTTGATGTCCTCGTTGTTGATTCACTCCAGGTGTTTGAGAATTTGAGGTCTCAGAAACATCAGTGGGATCCCTAAGAAGTTCTTGCATTTCTAAGAAGTCTTGTGTATGGAGCGACGCCAAATTGTCCTAACTGAGTTTGTGACCCATACTAGAGTAGTTGGGACGTGATGAAGGGTTCATTGGTGTGCGGCCTGGACGATTGAAAGGGGACATTGGAGTGAAGGATTTGTTGGTGAAAGGTTGAAATGGTAGTAGTGTTTGAAAGTCATAGGGTTGTTGTGATGTTTGTGTTTGTCGACTATAGTGTGATGTTTGTGTGTGTCGGCTATGGTGTGATGTTTAAGCGTTTTGGCTATGGTACGATGTTTGGACGTTTTAGCTACAGTACGATGCTTGGCGTTTTGGCTATATCTTGATGTTGTGTTTGGGGCATATGCATTTTGGGTGTCTTGATAATAGTCATTTTGTTGGAGATGGTATGGGGGACACTTTTGGTATTGTGGTTAGGTGTTTGACATGTTTGGATTGTGGATTTGTGTGTTTGTGGATCGGTAACTCGCACCCTTATCATTCTTGTCATTCTTAACTTGCACCCACCTGCGCAGTGCATCAAATTTCTCAATACTTTAAATTTTTTTGCCTTCAGGTACGTCTCCATCTAACCAACGATTCAACTCCCTCTGTAATTGCTTGAAACTTTAGATGTTCCAGAAAAGCATCTCCATCAGAGACTTCTCTCTCGAATAAATCACTTTCCATAGTGCGAACGATACATGTTATCACTAATATAAGAATACGAAAAAGATATGAAAATAATTGATCACGTCACCTCTATTTACAATAAAATTACACATTGCACCATGTCTTCAAAAGAATTGGCGACAACATTCAAATTTAACACACTGTCTCCAATTGGATTGGAGAAAGCATGTGGTGTCTCCAATCCAATTAACGACACATTTTTATCTTACAAAGCAATCGCCAATTCATATGACTCTCCAAAAGTGTGGTACTTTAAGAAATAAATTGAAAGTGAGTTATTTTGAAATTTTTATTTAAAATGTGGGGTATTTAGATTAAAAAAAATTCGATCTCTTATTTAATAAATCTTACATTTTAATCCCTCAAAAATCATTTTATTAGTCAATTTAATCTTTTCTATTAGATTTTAAAAACTATATACTTCATTAAATTATGATGATGTGGCAAACTAGTTGATAAATGTCAAAATGGTGAGTCAGGAACAAATCCAAAACAATGACAAAAAGTCCACTTGTTTAACAACGACAAAAAGTCCCAACAACACATTTTAATTCCAACTATAAAAAATTATAAACAATAACAACCTAGAACAACAAGAACTCTTTTCACCTCCAAATTCAGACTCATTATTATCATTTTCTCAGATCTAATTTCTGACTGCCAAAAACACCAGTTCCAACAACACCACCACCCAATACATCATATTTCACAATGGTGTCAAGATCTAGAATTTGACAGTCAACACCGCCTTCGAAATCCACAACCATGTATCTTTAAGAAGGCGGATGATACATAAGCATTTTTTCAATAATAAAAAAAAACTTTTATGACCTAAAAATCTATGAAAGTAAAAATAAATAAATAAAATCTCCAATCACAAATCCAAGAAAAATAATTAAAGAATGAACAGTTAATAGATTGAAGAAAAATCTATGAGTTAATGGATTGAAGATAAATAATTGAAAAACAACTCGAACAGTTACAGATTAATATAAATTAAAAGAAATATTTTGAATTTGAGTTGAAATTTATGATAAACTAATAATAGTAATACTTGTGCCCAAAAAAATAATTAGTATAGTGAGACAAGATTTACATTGCAACCACTAACCACTAACCAACACCGTTCTCATTTAAGTTTCTATTTTCTAAAAAAAAAGAAAAATCTAATATTCCCATTTCTAATTCCCACCTAACGTTGACTCGAATACCACCAAACCCATACTCCCGGAAATATTCTCCTGCATCGCAGTATGAATCTCGTGACGATGCTCCTCCTCATACGTTACAATCAGCATCGTTGGATCATCCATTGCTCGCTCCACCTTTTTCCTCGCTGGACACTCTTTCACTGTACTGCACCTATAATAACCCCTGAAAAATAAAATAAAAAATCAACGTCAATAAACATGCCTTTGACCAAAGTCAAAACAAATCAACGTCCATAAACATTCCTTTGACCATAGTCAAAACAAATCAACGGCCACAAATCACCCACCTTGGATACGGTGATCCCTTTATCGGCTTCTGACCATACTTCCTCCACGAATACTCGTCTGCCGGTATATCCGCAATCCTCGAACTCACCGCCGGTACTCTCAGTGTTCTCTTCATCCGATTTTTCCTGCAAATAAAAAACCTTATTATTAATATTCACCGTAGTTGCTAACATGCACCAAGTGTTACATTCACTAGTCAAAACTCAAAAGCAATAAGAATAAACTAAACGACAAATAAAAATGTGAAACGACAGAGAGTGGGGTTAGGTTCTGATTGGGAAATTTGATTTTTCCTTGTTTTTTATGAGACAGAATTTCCAAAAATTCGTCTGTTGACAAACGCAGCGCATAACAAAGAAACTCATGTAGTCGCTTTCACGCGTGCCGTGACCAATAACAATTGATTATTAATAACTTTAACTTCACTACTACCAAAATCGTTGACTATTAACAAAGATTCGTTACTTCACCCGCACAAAACCGAGTCAATTAATGATTCTGACTCGGTATTAATTAATTAAATAAATTGGATTTTATTAAGGAAGGTACTATAATTAATTACCTTTTCTTGATGCAGTGGCACTTATTAGAACCGGAGCGTTTGCCGGAGACGTTGTCGGAGTGGTCGTGACATATGTTCTTCAATGATGTAGATGAAAGAGGAGGTTTAGCAGCGGAAACAGCAGGGACGAGGAAGAGAGATGAACCTAGTTTACCGTTTGAGACACTGCCGTCGCCGGTGATGTCACCGGTAGTGATAGCGGAGGACATGAACGAGGAGTTAGAGGAGACGCTGAAGGCTTCTTTAGGGAATTCTAGATCTAAAGATTTAGGGTTTGATCTCAGCATGTTAGGTTTAGTGAAATCAAGAGTTAGAGAGTGGTTCTGAGGTTGAACTTGAGGCGGCGTTGTGGAGGCGGAGGGAGTGGGAGTGGGAGTGGGAGAGGGATTTTGTGGCGGTTGAGGGAGGGGAGCGCGACGGAAGCGGGCGCGACCGGTACGGTTGAGTAAGTTGGAAAGTTTTTTGAAGTTAGTTACGGTGGTGTTTGTGAGATCGGAGTTTAGATTAGAAGGGTTGTGAGAGAGAAAATCGATGAAATTTCCGAGTGAGTTTATACTATCTGAAGCAGTTTCTAGTATTGCTTTCTTTTCTTCTTTGTTTGGAAATTCCATCAATTCAAACTCCATTTTTTTCTTTAGGAAGAAAAGTTAGGGTTAGAAATCAAAATGAAATGAAAGGAAGAAAAAAATAGGAGAGAAATTAGGGAATGGTTAGATTGGTTATATATATGAGAGAGAAGTTTTGTTAGTCAAAGACTTTATTAATTTATTCGGTTTGATCGGAGGGTTGAGATTTGTTTGAAGATTGGTGAACGGTTAGTGATATGTGTGTGGTGAACGTTGAAGTGGGACCTGACTTCCTCGGGTTCTAAATTTCTTAGCGTTGAATTTCAATAAAGAATCGCTATCTAGAAAATCAATTGCGATATTGTCAAAAGAAGAGAATAAATCAATTATGAGTAATTATTAGACAGCGTGTGAATTTATGTTTATTGAATTTATTTATTTTTTAAGATTTACGACTTTTGATTCATAAGAAAATTTGAAAACGACTTTTTTTATTGACTTTTCTTTTTCTAATTTATTTGTTTTTTTTTTTACTTACAAAATAGACAAAATAAGGAGGTTGTGTTATGCGAAATTGAAAGGGCTTCCAAAATAGTACTAGTACAATGCTAGCAAGTTTCATTTCATTTTCAAAGAATAAATTATATTCATGTTACTGAGAGTTCCGAATGTCAAAGAATATGGTCATCGTCAAAGATTATAGTCATGGTCAAATATTATAATCAATAGCTGTGTTTGAATAAAGTTATAATTTGTGAACTAAAAAAAACAACATCCATAGTTTTGTAACAACTCTTATAATTTTTTTTAAAGATGAACACCTATAAATAGAGGTGCATTTCTCATTCATAACACAACAAAAAAAACATTGCAACATAACATAAAAGAAAAATTTTATAAAGAAAGAATATGTTGTATTTTCTCCTATAAGATTTTTTTTAGTGAATGTTCTCCTATTACAAGAGAGAATGTAATTTGTTATCTCTTTGTATTTAGAGAGAAGTGTTGTAATTTGTTCTACTAAGTAAAAAAAATTTCTACCTATATGTGGTTTTTCTCTTATTTGTTGAGGTTTTTCCACGTAAATATTTTGTGTCAATTCCTATTCCTTGATATGTTATTTTTGTGATATTTATCTTACTACTCTGAAACCTAACAGAATTCTAAATAACTTTTGCTGGATTTAAGATTTGTGTAAGTTGTTGATTAATTGGTTGAAATCATAGTATAAAAAATTAACAATCGTGCTGCATCTTAGGGGTGGACAAAAATCCAACAACCGTAATAGATTACGAAAAAATCAAGTTTTGATTTTATATATTGTTATATATAAACCTATCTCAAGTGAAGGAAATTAAAAAAAAAAACCTTAGACGCTGCACTGCTATTCCTCTTTGCTTTCTCTCACAATCAGAACTTTACAAATTCAACCATTCACAAAATAGAAGAAGTGACACAAGATCTAAATCAACCATTTGAAGTTCAAGTTCAACCATTCACAAACATCTCTCTATTTTAATCTTAATACTGACGTTATTTAATATCTTTATTTTATCATTTTTGTCTCCTTCATTTTCTTTATTATCTTCCCTATTTATTATTTTTTAGTGGTAACTGCTACATTTTCTTGTATTTTTTTTTTTTGGTTTGTTGAGATTCTTTATTCTTGTAAGTATTACTGATTTGCTTTTATTTTAATATTAAGATATTTTTTCTAAAAAAAAAATTATTTTATTTTTCTATATTTTTAGGTATCTAATTTGAGCAAGAGTCTCATCAATATTGCTAGACTACAAATTTTTTTATGTTTGAATGTAATATTACTTTGATGTTTGGATGTATTATGACCTTATTAAGATTTGTAGATTTGACACCAGTTGTAAACATAAGACAACTTATATGTTCATAATTTTAAAATTATTGCTGAGTTTTGATTCATTGTGATTAACATGGTTTAAATACTATGTTTTTATAGAAAAATAAATCACCACCATTCAAATTTGAATGAAAAAATTTCCAATAGCCAAATTTTATATAGATATGAATAAAAAAATTAATAATTTTTAATTTCGGTCAAATTCCTTTTATAGTGTTTAACATAAAAAGCTAAAAAGAAAGATTTTGAGAAGAAAAAAAATAGTTTTTGAAAATTTTTAAAACGGGGATCATCATTAGTTCAGTGTGAAAAAAAATTGAATGATTTTCTAAAATCAAAAAATTCGAGTTATGAAATCGAATCTGGAAAAAATCAAAATCGAAAAAATAGATTGTTCAACCGGACATAATTTGGTCTATATTTCTCAACTAAGGGTTGAGTCGGTTTGGGGTTTTGGGCCCGAAACCGAATCGGACCGACCAGATCTCCACCCTTACTACATCTGGTGTACACCCCTACTGCATCTGGTGTAGAATCTTGCTGCAATAAGAAGTCTTTCTTTTCTTTGTAAGAGGCGCAAAGTTCCTATTCCTTTGTATTAGAGTTTTAACATTATTGATGGTAAAAGTTTTATAGTTTGCCATGCTTTTTAAGAAGGTTAGGGTGTAAGTAGATTCTAGTAAAAACATTATTCATTCATTCACTCAACGGAGTAATACATTTGAGATTTTTCATATGTATCCAGCATTTATTTAAACATAAAGATAAAAGGTATATGATTAATTTTCCACGTGTTTTTTCTAGAGAGAATGCATGCCTTCTCTCTCTAAAAAATTTATTGCGTCTTTCCCTTTTCCCTCTAAGACTTGTGGTTCTTTTCCAGTTCTCTGGCTTTCCCCCACCACCATTTGGGTTTTAGACTCCTTGTCTTTTTGTTTCCGTTTCTCCCAGCTAGACTGCTATTATCCCATTGTGGTTCACGTTGAAGATCTCATGGATCTATTCAAAGATGGAAAAAATAAGGTCTCTTCCTATGTCCAAGGAAGAGGAGGAAGGGGAGGTTGCGGCTGAAGATATGATTTGGGATAACGAATCGCTCCAAAGGACTTTAACGAGTAAACTATGGACGAAGAGTAGCTTCAACGCTAGTTCTTTCTAGAGCACCATACTTAATGCTTATAAACTAAAGAACCCGGTGGAGATTCAAGACCCGAGTAAGAATCTTTTCCTGTTCAAGTTTGCTATAAAGAGAGAACTTGAATTCATCTTGAGAAGTGGTATGTGGAGCTTTGATGATAGATCGTTGTTCGTGCTAAATCGCATCTCTATAGAGGAACAACCTTCAAATCTCAACATGCACTATGGTTCTTTCTGGGTTAGGATATACGAGTTTCCTCCCATGCTCAGATCCGAGACTATGGCGAAAAAATTGGAAGCATCATTGGGAACTTCAAAGAGATGGACCTCAAAGAGGCTCACAGGAACGGTCATTTTCTTCGAATAAAAGTCACTATTATTTTGAAGGAGCCATTAAAAGAGGCACTATTGTGAAGTTCAAAGACAAAAACCTTAGAGTTCATCTCAAATACGAGAGGTTGCCGACTTTATGCTTTGTCTATGTAAGAATGGGCCACCAAATGAAGGGTTGTGAAGTTGTAGAGGATATCAACAAAGAAGGATTTGAAGAGGTGAAGGAACAAGATCTTTCTTTTGGTCAGTGATTCAGAGTTTCCCCATTACCGAAGATGGGGGAGGAGAAAAAGAAGAAGGAATCAAGTTCTAGCATCTACAACAATGACCTATTTAATATTTCATCTAGCCATAGTCAATGTGAATCGAAAGGGAAAGACAAAATTGAAGAAGAAGAAGTTCAACAAGATAAAATAGCAAAGGTTCCTACAGAGGCTATATAAAATAAAATTCATACTAACAAAGGCAAGTGTGTTAATGTAGAGACAGTTACGGTGTCACTTAGAGCAATGGCTATATCGACTGAGAAGAAAGGCATGGAAATTCAATATGAAGTTCAAGCAGTCCAAAAAAGAAAGTGGATTATGAGGAAGGGGATAAAAAAATTCGGGGGTAACCAACTGAAGGTTCAGGGAACGACGGATGTGAAGATACATTTAATTGATGTCATGATAACTGAAGGTTCTATTGAGGATTGTGGAAGGGGTGAGAAAAGAGGAAACAAGTTAGGTTCGAATAAGAAATTTGTGCCAATCAACCAGAGGTGATGTTGGAAAGCCAACACCGTCTATCATAATGCAAACCATCAACTGGAACTGCAGGGGTTTGGGGTGCCTCCGAGCAGTTCAAGCCCTTGTGTAACTCATCTATATTGAAAGAGCCCAAGTGGTTTTTCTTATGGAAACTGTTCTGGACTGGGCCGACGCTTAGCCCATAATCGAGCAGGCCCAAACCACACTGGATTTGGGCCCAATAGGACCTCACAGACGGGCAGAAGATCCGTCGGGCACATCATCTTCCCCCGCCGGGCACAGGCCAACATCCGTCAAGCAGGACCCTCGTAGTTGTCTGGTCAGCCTCTTTCTCCCCCGTCGTCGGGTAGATCCCAGCCTGCCCGGGGAGCTCCTTAGACCTCTCCCACATTCTCTATGTGCCCCCCACGTAGGAACACGTCATTGAGTAACTACCCACGTCCTGGATATTTGGTATTCCACCTCCCGGATAGCATGGAACAGTTACACTAGGGTGAAGACCACGTGCTGGACTTCACGACGCCACGTCAGCCCTAGCAGTTACCTACGTTGGGCCTGGAAGCCCAGCCCAACATAAAGTAATCGTTGGCCCTGCGTCGGTGGCTCATTATAAATACCCTCTTCCACTAGAGTGTCAGGTAACTTAACTCTCTCACTCTTCTCTCTGTACTTGTCATCACTCTACTTGTCGCTTACTTTGGCATCGGAGTGTGTTTCAGGTACACCCCCCATTTGTCCATCAAGTCAGCAAGTTCGACAGCTCAGACGCGTGGCAGCCCATCGATCTCTCTAATCAGGTACGATCAGTGGCGCCGTCTGTGGGAACCTAAGCTCCCCCGTTCCTCCAAGCAGAGAACCAAAGCTTCCTATTTCAAATTCTGAGGTCATGACTAGCCCTTCTCCATCTCAAACGTGTCATGTCAGAACCACCGGTCTTAACGAGACCCGACGTCGGAGAAACC